TAAAATAAAAAAATTTAATTTAAATAGAAAAATTTTTCATGTAAAAACACTTGGCGCTGCTAGATCTCGGTATATAATAATATGATGGTAATATAGTAGTAAAGCATGAATGTAAATAAGGATAAGAATATAATATTTAGAAAAATAATATAAATAACAAACATATTAATAAGAAGAGTCATAATCATATTAAAAAATTAAAAAATTTGAATATTTCGAAAAATAAGAAAAATAAAAACCATCCCCAATGAGAGTTAATATATCTAGCATGTGTATATATGATTGAGTCGTGTAAATTATGATCGTTGTGAATGCTATTAAGTTTAAATCAAAGAAAAATAAATTTAGACTTGTAAGACATGCATTATGAAAGAGAATTTATTATTACTTTTATTATATTACAATTATATTGTTATTGTTACTTTTAAATTATATACAATTATCTTTTATAATTTATTTTTATTAATTGCCATTCACGAATTTTAAATTGTACTTATAGTTTTTCTTACTCTATCTAGCAGCGCCAAGTGTTTTTACATGAAAAATTTTTCTATTTAAATTAAATTTTTTCATTTTATACGGTTAATTCTTTAATTTTTGTGGTAACATTTAAATTGAGCAAGGTAACGCAAGTTTGTGATGTTTTGTATAATATTTTGATGGAGAATTAAATAACCACTACTTTAGTTGAAAGAGGAAACGTCTTTGAATGAATTATGATATAATGATTTCATTTAAGAGGAATTTAAACCATTTGGATTGGAATAGGAAGATTCTTCAATAAGTATACGTATATTTAGATTTCATTGTATAAAAATTAAAGATAGTACTATTTGGATTAAGTAAATAATAAATAAAGATAGTATCACTTCAGTTTTACTTTTCATTCTGATAGTAGAATTTAACTTGGCGCCACAGTTGTTGATATCAAATCGTTCGTACAAATAATACATACCATTAGATTAATATTTATTATTTATTTAATTTGGCATGGTATAAAGAAGTAGGATTTAACTTGGCGCCAGTTCTTGATATCAAATCTTTTATAGAAATAATACATAAAATTTTTTTGATAAAATTTTGATGAATTTAACTTGGCGCCAATTTTGTTGTATCAATTATACGAATATGATACATATCATTAGAGTTAAATAAATTATTTTTTTCTTTGGGAGGAATAAAATGGTAAAATTTAATTTGTTCGAATTACATTGAATTTAACTTGGCGCCAATTGTTGATATCAAATCTTTTATACAAATGATACATATCATTAGTTCTACTAAACAGCAAACGTGAATAGTTATCAGATTCACGGCCGATTAAGTAATTGGCGTTGGTGAATCCATTTTTCATCCATAGTAACAATTCGATACAAAAAGCTCTTTTTTTTGTTTGACGATCAACGAAATGTAAATGTTTACAATGTTCGCAATGGTATTTTCCGATAACTGATGTGGAACCCATTTTCCTTTTTTGTGAATCTTACTCATATCATATAAAGTTTAGTAACTGTTATACGATTAACATTTAATTCTTTGGCAAGTTCTGAAGTGGATCGTGCTGAATTTTCGTTCAATAATACTTGCAAATCTGCATTTTTCAGCTTTTTTGGTTATCCTGAACGATTCTTGTCGTTAACAATGAAATCATCACTTTTGAATCGTCTGAACCAATATTCACATATCTTAATTGATGGAGCAACATAAGTTCTATTAGAATTCTATGACTTTCAGCCACCGTTTTCTTCTGATTAAAAAACAAAAGCAACACATATCGAAAATGCTCTTTACAAAGCTCCATTTTTTAAATGGTATAAACTCGATGTTTCTGCGTCTATTATTACTAAACGACTAAATATCACGGAGTAACAATGAAGCGTTAAGAAACAATAGCTGCGATTGGAATGTCTACGACAACACTGGCATTAGTGCCATGTCTTGCAAAACCCTCAAAGCTAAATCACATTTCTAATACATGGTTGAATTCGAAAAAAATAAATCTCTAATTTTGTAGAAAATATTTATTTGAAAAATTTGAATAAACTGTGGGTCGTGACGGTATATTTTTCAACAAAAAAATTTTTTTCTTCACAACTTTAAAGTACCTACTCTTAAGTCGTATAATTTTTATTAAAAAATTTTCCTCCATCGTTTATACTACCGACGATATTCATCTCGAAAGAGAAATACTGTTTGTTTTCAAAAGGGTATTTCACCCCTTAAACATGAGTTAGCGCATGTATAAAAAATACGTGCCTCTTAGATTTTTGTGTTTAACAACATATTTCATGGAAAATCAAATCGGTGCCGAACAGTTGTGAAATATCCCTTGTAAGTTATCAGGAACTGTCATTACTATGTCGTCAAAATACCGGTAATAAAACAGAAGTTGCATACCAATGGTCTCCAGTGCTTTAGCTTCTAAATCCCTCATAATCAAATTCGCTACAATCGGGGAGAGAAGGGATCCCATAGGAATACTAAAACTTTGATGATTAAAACTACCATTGAAGCAAAAATGAGTCGAATCAACCACTAACTGAACAGCGGATATAAATTCTTCTTTCGGAATATTCACTATATTCATGAAAAAATGTCATGTATTTTCAATACTTTCAACGGCCAAATCAATAGGAATATTTGTGAATAAAGGAATAACGAATAAGGGTCTAACGAAATTAAAACGTAATCCGTAATTCGAATCATGTCCCTTTCAATTTCTGTACTAATTGGAAACTGTTGTTTGTGCTACTAAACGATTTGGACACATTTTTTGAGATGATGTCATGTAGAAAAGTTGTCAAAGAATATAAAGTATTATCAATAGACGATATTATTATCCTCAATAGACAGTTCTGTTTATGTACTATATAATGTATTATGTATAATGTATACACTCTCGAAAAATTACCCTCACTACAGTATAATTTTTTATAAATTGATAAATTGATAAAATTGTTCCATCTTAGCAGCAATTCATGAACACCATTGGTTAACGTATTAATCGGATATTTCTCACCATCTCAGTGTAAGTTTCTTTGTCATCCAAGTTCTTTTCAAATAAGTTTGAACTTTCAAAACAATCTTCTTTTTATACAAGCAAAAATTAGGAGTGTAAAGAAGGTATCCATTTTTTAGCAATTACAGAAAAATTCCAAATGTCATAATATCAGAAAGTTTCAAAAAATTTTGTATTATGTAAGTTTTTGAATAGCTTATGAATTGTAAATTAAACTGAGATATTTTATCGTGCATTTAATGTCTTAGTTTTATCTGAATACCGAAATATGTATTCTGATACATATTTTAATATAATCAACGATTGAAGATTTATTCACGAACGATTATTTCTGACTTTATGGACGTATTTTCGGGTTCATAAAGCGCCTCATTTAGATTAGGTACTTGAATTCTCGCTATTAACAGGGAAAAGTTATTATTTGTGCTATTTCAACATGGCCGAAAGTGACTGCTGATATACAAAAGTAAAAGTAGTATTTATATCAGTGACTGCTGATATATGAAAGTATTGTCAATAGGCTTTAATAATCAGTATGTAACATTTAATCGGCTGCAAAGAACATAATTTTTTATCGCATTAAAAATGTCGGGTTACGTACCAAAAAAAAGCATTTGCGGGAAGCATTACTTTTCTGTTTTAATCTCAAGAAATCTGTTTCTGAAAGTCATCGTTTGCTAGTGGAGGCTTATGGGGAGCATGCTTTATCTGAAACAATTTGCAGAAATTGGTTTAGAAGATTTAAAAACAACGATTTTGACGTGAATGACAAAGAGCGGTCTGGTCAGCCGAAAAAGTTTGAACATGGAGAATTGGAGGCATTACTTTAAGAAGATTCATGTAAGACGCTTAAAGAGTTGTCGGAAACATTATATGTCGATGAGTCAACCGTTAGCAAACGTTTAAAAGCAATTGGAATGATCCAGAAGCTAGGAAAATGGGTCCCACATGAATTGAGAGAAAGAAACATTACAAACCGTTTGTGAATTGCTGTTTCAAAGACAAAAACGGAAGTCGTTTTTGCATTGAATTGTGACTAGCAATGAAAAATGGATTCGTTACGACAATTCTAAGCGCAAGAATCATCAACGCCAAAACAGGATATTCATGGAAAGAAGATCATGCTGTGCATTTGATGGGATCAAGTCGGTGTAGTGTACTATGAACTGCTGCAACCGAGTCAAACCATCAATGCTGAACACTACCGACGTCAATTACTCAATTTTAATCACCTATTCAAAGAAAAATGCCTGCAATACGCCAAAAGACATGACAAAGTTATTCTTCTTCATGACAACGCTAAACCATATGTTGCAGAACAAGTGAAGGAAATTTTGGAGGCACTTGGATGGGATGTCTTACCACACCCGCCCTATTCACCAGACGTTGCTCCTTCAGATTACCATTTGTTTCGGTCAATGCATCGGAAGAGGGTCTTTCTGAGCAGCACTTCAGTTATTTCGAAGAAGTCAAAAAGTTGCTCGATGACTAGATCGCTTCGAAAGAACCTGAATTTTTTTACCGCGGAATCCATTTGTTACCTGAAAAGTGGGAAAAGGTTGTAGCTTTCGATGGACAATATTGTGATTAAAATATCAAGTACCTTTTTGATGAAATAAACATGAGATTTTGTAGTAAAAAACAGCGAGAATTAATTCAAGCACCTAATATTATATTAAAATTTATTATATATTTATATTATATTAAAATTTAATTTAATGCTCAATATTTTTTGTTACTATCTCTTTGTTACGCTGAAAATAATCTAAATTGTGGTCGAAACGTCTATAATTATCAATTATTGCTAATAATACACTCAAGTTTTATCCATCCCGTGTCGATTTAAATTTTCTTACTCTTTTTACATAAATAATTTATGTTTGGAACTAATTTTGTAAAAAAAACCTGTTTTTAAATTATTTAAATGTGCTTATTAGATGTGGCACTTCATATTTTTTCTAAATATGCGAATATAATTTACCATCTGCGCTATCACTGGTAAAGTGATATTCGCCACTCCCACATTTGAGGTAAACTCTGTCATAAGGCCTTCGAAGAAGCACACAACAGCAAGTATTACAATGGGTGGTAAATAACGGAGTGGTACTAGAGCTTCACCGACTCGTTTTGCCATACATGATGCTACGCTTCCTCTTGATATTGCGAAACCGCCACCCAATAGGAACATTAGACTCCATGGCATTTTAGTCTCGATTACCTTCCACGTAATCAAACCTTCTGAAGATCTTTTTGGCCTTTTAGCAGCTGCGAATTTTGAACATAATTATAGATGCAAGTGCAAACAATGTTTTAAGAAAAATTTGTTATTCTATACTATCTATATGCTATAGACATTTTGCAGAGACATTTTGTTGTAATTTGCAGAAATATTTTGTTGTAAGATTGCAACATTGTAAAAACGTTGTGAAGTTGCAGATTGTTGCAGTATTGCTCATTGCAGCGGTAAAATATCCACTTTTAGAAATATTGCAGTACAAAATATTCCAGTTATATTACATTACACGTTTTGATGTTTCTGACAATTTTTGATACTGTGTAACTTCCGAGATTATCCCTGGTAGAAATTTCATGCATTTTTTGAGCAGTTACTAAACAGTTATACCAACTTCTGTCTAGTAACTGAGAAGGAAAACTACTTAGGTCAAAACTAATTACGTCATTAAGCGTAATGTGAAAAGTATGGTTAACCATCTTGTGAATGTTGAGGATGTGGACGTGGACGATGTAGAGTTTGAAAATATCGGAAACATTGAGGACATAGCCGAGTTTATTAGAAACGTGGATGAGGAACAATTCGCGAATATCAGAGACGAAGTGTTCGAAGTTATTGATGAAATGGAAGTAGATTTCGCGGAGATAATGGACCAAGATTCCAACGAAGAAGAAGTGCTATCCAACGATACAGGTTTTGCCAGTGACGCGAGCGAGTACAATACGGATCTTAAAGAAAAATTTGTACCATCTCAGGAAATCCGTGCACTGAACGGTCGTACCAAACACTGCATGATCCAGTCCTACTACACAACGGGTGGTGCTTTAACCATATGTGCAGCATGCATGGTCCTTTTGACTGACATCGACACTGTGGGAATGTATTTTATAAAGAAGCATAATATCAATTATATTGATGCATTAACGGCCGATCTTGCACGAATTGTTGAGTGGCAATGTACACTATATTTCCGTGCAACAAGTGTTCACAGTGCACAAATTAAAAAACTATTACAAACAATATTGTGAACAAAACATGGATCACGTTGAGATAATGGAACGAATGAAGATGGAGTACGATGAAAGCAATGTATTGCATATTAGAAAAGATGCGATACGCGTTCTAGGAAAATCCGCGACAGAGAAAGATACAAGTGTGCGAATATCACCGGTACAATTCCTACGCGATCGAGAATTAGGAATATGCGGCCAGCGTGTCATGGAACAAGCAGAAATTCACAACGAGCCCATTTGTTTCTGGCCTTTATTCGCGCGACAGAAAGTATACGCGGTTATTCAACAAACATTGTGAGAACTATGACTTTGAAAATAGACATAAAACTGACAGTTTAACACACAACGACTTTTTTTGTGTGTCGAAAATCGCGATGCAGACCGTTTATCACTGCTACAGGAACATTACGATTCCCGCGGGTGGTGAAAAAATAGCCAATCTGTTGATAGTGATGCAAATATGCCATGTTATTACTACGAGGAGGATACTGCTTTAAAAAGAAATATTTTCGTGACATGTGTTATGATGAATGCTTTATTTGTGAATTATGCTGTTTCGCATTAGAAAATTATCACATGGCGCGAATATACTGTGCAATTATAGATATGGAGCGGCGTGTGTGAACAAGTCACGTGCAAGTGTTCCGTGGAAGAGTGCAACGTGATCTAAAATTAAAAAATAAAAAAGACATGGAAAATCACGAGCGAGTGGAACGCGAACTGCTGGAGCAGTGCGACTAGATCGCCACTCTGGCGGAGTGTTTCACGTGGCTGCAACGATGCGACGAGTGCACCGAGCGGCTCGAAGAACTTTGTTGTGCCAAGCGTCCGCGCCTCGTTGGACAATCCGCGGTGGCGAGGATCGCACGACTCGCGGGTGCAAAGACACAATTGGAGCGACGCTTCGTGCACATTGGTGGCGGGTACGCGAGTAGCGGGTACGCGAGTGGCAACGAGCAATCTCTCGTATGGCGAGAGTTCAAGAGTCGTATAGTGACAGGTGCGGTGATAAACTCTAATCACATCGAGCCGCGACAGTTTTTAGAAGATGCTGGCAATATAATGTTCGAGCGAGTGCGAGACGCTGTAGAAAGACACGATAGTGTAAAAGTGAACACCACGTTCAACAGCGAGTTCGCGACGAAGGATAAACGTGTTAACAAGAGCATAATTACGAAAAACATTGAGATTTATCGATGCACCGATATACGCGAGTGGTACGAACGGCACATAGTCGAGCCTATCTTGACATCGCTCGAAAAGTTCCAGGAACGCGACAGTGGGTGGGCGCTGTCGCAAATCCACAACTTGATTGTTAACGTGAACAAATTAAATCCCATGCACGCGGGATGTCACATCGAACTGTCGCGAGCAATTATGTTAAAGGAGGCGGTGATCAACGTGAAATCCTTGGACAATGCGTGCTTCGCGTGGTCGGTGGTCGCCGCTCTGTACCCTGCAGAAAGACATTTGGATCGAGAATCATCGTACTCGCATTACACTGCAGTGTTAAATCTCCCGGGTATTGAGTTTCCGATGACATTAAAAGACATTCCGAAATTCGAACATTTGAATGCAGTGTCGATCAATGTATACAGCATTGAAAATGAACAGGTCCTTCCTCTACGCCTCACCGGTGACAAGAAGGAGAAGCACGTCAACATGCTGTACCTGCAAGATCCACGCAACGACGGTGTCGTCCACTTTGCATGGATAAAGAACCTGTCACGCCTCGTGGATCATAACTTACCCATGGAAACGTGCCCATGGAAACGTTATCTAAACAGCAACAGGAGGTTGCAACATCTGCGGGAAAACTGTTCGCACCGGACGACACGCGAGTCTGCGATCATTGTCATTTAACCGGTAGATACCGCGGTCCAGCACATTCTAATTGTAACTTAAATTATAAAAAATCGCTGTATATTCCGGTTGTATTTCACAATTTATCGGGGTACAACGCGCACTTTTTAATTAAAGAAATTGCTACCACGTAAGATGGAAATGTAGATCTCCTTCCGATAACGAAGGAAAATACATTTCGTTTACGAAACATGTCGATAGCACCAAAGACAAAAACGAAAAGAATTTTCGAAAAAATTGTGTAAAATTAAGGTTTATTGATTCCTTCAAATTTCTAAGTGCAAACCTCGATAAATTGGCGTCGTATCTCGACAAAGATAAATTAAAAATTGTACGTTCCGAATTTTCAACTTTGTCAGACGAAGAGTTTGAATTACTGACTCGTAAAGGTGTCTTTCCGTACGAGTACATTGACTGCGTTGAAAAATTGCAGGACACGCGCTTACCACCGCGAGAATTATTTTTCAGTTTATTGACGGGCGATACAATATCCGAGAGCGATTACGCTCACGCCATGAACGTATGGCAGCGATTCTCCATTCGAATGCTCGACGAGTACAGCGATCTGTACTTGAAAACCGATGTCTTGTTATTAGCTGACATTTTCGAAAATTTCCGCAATAGTTGTGTAGCGAGTTACGGTCTCGATCCCGCGTATTATTATACACTACCAGGTTTCACGTGGGACGCCATGCTGGCGTTTAGATGCTAGACATTTATCATGCTACCATTTAGCGTTAATGGTAGAATACTCGGATGGCACCCAGTTGGACACGGCTCAACTGGACACGAGCCACTCACAGCGCTTGAGACTACAAAGCTCCTGAGCACCGGTCGCTGTGATTGGTGGTGTCCAATCGAGCCGTGATCAATCGGGATCACCCCGAATACTCTTGCAAGTTTACCTGTGTGAATAAGTTGAAATGACAGTGCGTTTTTTTATAGAAAAAAACTTGTTAAAAACTGTAATAACTGATCCCCAGTCTTCGAAAAATGAGCAACATCAAAGATGTACTACAGATAAAATATGAGTACCCGGTTGAGGGGGTAAGTAGTTTTTTTTGTATATGCTAGGTTGTTTCTTTTTCTTTTTTTCTTTTCTTTTTTTTCGGGCCTATGACGGTCAAAGCTAGATCTTTTTGTGTGTCTAAATAATTCCCAGTGAATTATCTATATCCTATATATGTACATGTATATATCATATTTTTGTAGTTATTCAACTGTGCGTTGAAATTTTTTCGAACTTTATTTAACGCAATTAAACTACTGCAATTATATAACAAGTTAAATTAAATTGACGATGTGAATGAAAACCTTAAATAAATTTATTGCTAGATTTTCAATTTTTTAATTTTTTAATTTATTGCTAGATTTTTTATTTTTAAATTTTTTAATTTATAACGTTTTTTTCCCTCCCCAGTATGTCGTTGACAATCAACCAGTTCAAAGATTACAATTTGCGAACGAGGTTGGGATCCTGAAGATCCCGTTGGTAAGATTATAAATTATACATTCTAATTCTAATTATAATTCTATTTGTACTGTTTTTTCCAGGAGACGCATCGCAGCAAAGTCCACGCGCGTTCGGGGTTTATAAATATTTATAATTGGGTGACAACACACGCAGAGAGGGAGATGGAACGGTTCTTCAGAGAGCATTACATAGATGTATGGGACGACCACAGCCTCTTTTTGGCAGAATTGTTCGGCCTCCGACCGTACGAGTCGAATGAACCGGAAGAGTGGTAGTGTAAGTATCCTAAATTTATATGTGAATTTCGCTTCTTATATATTGCAAAAATGTTTTTGTACACATTGGAAGAATGGGTAATAATCTACGCCTTAATATGTCATTTTAATAATTTATCACTATGTAAATGAAGTGTATTTTACATGAAATAATCCATTCTTGTAGTTGCACTATTTCATCAGGTTCAGAGTCCGAGTTATTATGACAGTTATCATTGATGATTTCATTATCATTAGAATAATCTGATATGTTCTTATCAGAATAAAGTTCTGTGTTAATATGTACCTCATTTGTATTTTGCTTACTTGTAACCCTACACAGTAAAAAAATTTGTGTTGAATTTAACACATTTCACATGTCTCAAACGGTCCACTCAAATTTTTGTGTTAATGTAACATAAGATGAATATGTTAGAAAGTAACACAAATATTATGTAAGAAATTAATACAAGAAGTAACCGAGAGAGAAAGAGTAAGAGTGGATCGTTTCTAACACAAATACAAAAAGATTTTTGCTGTAATGATTGTAACTGTAGTTGTCATTTCTGTCACAAAATTTTGCCCTGTTAAAATCCTTATTTCCTCCAACATTTCTTCCTTTTCCTTGCTCTATGTTTTTCTACGCGTTCACTCATTCTTTGAGTGCAGATTTGATTATTGTGTACAGATTTTATTACTTAATATTTATTTTTGTATAATAAAACAAGATTTAAAGATTAACCTCAATAAAATTTGACAATGTTCAATTTCACAAATCTTTCTTTGCAGCGACTGCACGCATGATTTAATAGTAAATTTTCTACTAAACAGGTTTTACACTAACATAAGAGTTCTTTCAGCGGTTTATCCCTCGTTTTAATATTTTTAACTTTTATACATGCTACTTTTATTACTTTTATACTTTTATTTTGATACTTTTACCTAGATATACGTTCCAACTGATCATATATGATGCGTGCATTAACAACTGAATTACTATATTACAATATCTTGGAAAAAATCAGCCCAAATATTGTATAGTAAACTAACTTTACTCAGTTTTGTCCAGTTTCTACGCATTATTTTGACTAATAATGTAATCTATTAATACTAGACAATAATTGGGCAGTGTCTACGCAAATTGCACAAATTATTACCAGGAAAACTGCTTCAATCACTGAATAAAATTCTATCAAGTTTTTGTCCATTTCTTACTCAGCATTAGCACAATTAATGAGAATACAATAATATTAGATAGTAACTGGATACATATCTAGGAAAACTGCATACATTTCTACCAGAGATCATACGTATATTTCTAGATTAATTTTTAAAAGAACTAAAGATTGTGCTGTTAAAAAATACATCTCATTTAATTTTATCCCCTAATTTTGACATTCTATTAAGGAATTATTTTGTTAGAATGTAGGAGAAAAATCTTATTATAGGCTGTGCCTTCTATTTTATCCTGTATAATTTCTTTATTTACGAGAACTAGAATTCTCCCGGGTCTATTTAGTGATGTTGCGTATTATTCACGAGTGAGCGATAGAACATTACTTTTCACAATATATTAATGCAACATTGTTAAAATAATATTGCAAAAAATCTTTACAACGTCTCTGCAATCATTACATTGCAATACTCAGTTTCTGTGTTCTACGAGGAGATATGTAAATAAAATGAAAATAAAAATTTTAGTAAAGCTTTAATTTTATTACTCAAATTTTATTTTTGAGTTTATTTCATTAAAACAAATAATTTTCTATTTTAGTAATTATGACCTGATAATATTTAGAATTATTATTATCAGCGTTTTGAGGTTTTGAACAAAATTTTTATCATTCCTTACGATTTTGACTATAACAATATATGAAGCTAGGATCCTTTGGGATGAAAAACATCAAGATGGAGACGAATATCACGGGCACTGAATCTCTGACATCTCTGCATGTTTATTAATTTTTAGAATACTTGCATAGCACTCATGTTAATATACACGCATAATAATATATTTTGTAATTTTAAAATACTAACATATCAGTAATCACTTCCGACCATCCACGGATGAAACCAGGTTTGCGAAATATCCAAAGAAATACGCATGTGAAGAATAAAGTGGCTACTCCAATTTCATGAAAAGTTATGGGACCCAAATTCTTGTATCTCTGTTGTATAACCTAGAAAGATTATCATTCGTTAAAGAAGAATTCATTGTTGTATTTCATCAGTTCAGTATTTCGTTTTATTATACAAAAAATACATAGGCTTAATAGGGGCGTCACAATATTTTGTAATCGCTTATTCATGAATCATTAAGTTGAAACTTTCATTTTATAATACACTGATTTTATAATAACATTGATTAAACATATTTTTTCGGCAAACACATTCGATTAACAAGTATTATTTATTAAGTTGAGGAATGTAACAATATTTCAAAGTTAATCAATAAGATATTTCCGATACAGCACAGAAACTTGCAGTAACATTGTAGAAATGGTGCAATATTGCAGATTGCACTATAATATCGCTGCAACATTGTAGGTATTAGGAATTGTAACGTATAACACATATTATGGCGTAAGATTTGAGAATCTTGCAGCATTGTTGCAGAGACATTAAAAAACGTTTTAGCTTTTGAGTAATGAACTATTGTCACATGTGGGAATATACTTCAATTGCACGTTATATGATTGTTAATCATTACCGTTAATTTATGGCTTTTGCACCCTGGACGCAGAAATGCTTGTCGCGCAATAAAATGCGCGGTAACCAATGAACATGTTAGGAACTGTAAGCTAATTGATTACCGCGTCGCATTTTACTGCGTAGCAAGTATTTCTACGCCCAGTGCGATAACTATTAGGAATTATAGTGTTCGTTGAAATTTGTTGCCGTCGCGCGACAAAATTTTTCAAACTTTATAATCAACTCCAGGGTTAGGTAGCCAAGTTAAAAAGCTAAAAGTTAAGTTAAAAAGTTGAAAAGTTAAATAATTTTAACTTAACTTAGTTACATTTTAGACTCTTAACTTTTTAACTTTATTTAGTTACATTTTATCGATAACTATTAACTTTTTATTTAAATTTTTTGAAGTTAAGTCTCCGATTCAAACATATATACTTCATTTAGAACATACTCTATATTTTACTTAAAAGTTTTATTTGTATATATTATTTACATTATATATTGATTTCAATCTAGCAAAAACCGTATATTTTAATGTATCTGGTTTTTGATAAGTTGAAATCTATATATATATATAACAGTATATATAAACAAAAAGTTTAAATAAAATATAGAATATATTCTAAATGAAGTATATGTTTGTCATTTCCGTTATTTGTAAGACTCTGAAATCATAAAATAGAAAGAAATTTAACTTTTAATTTTTCAATTACTTTTTTTTATTAATTTAACTTTTAATTCAATTAATTTCATTATACATTAACTTGTATCTTAAATGTAAATTAAATTTTCAAGGTTGTTAACTTTAACTTAACTTAGTTAAAAGAAAAAATTAATTTACCCAACCCTTATCAATTCTCATAGTTTTTTGAAATACATGGATTAAAAAAAATTTTCGAATATGGCAAAGAAAACTGTTGCGACATTACATTCGATTAGAGCGATAAATGCCAATTAAGGGTCGATGGTGCCATCCATCGATTCCTTCCGTGAATCTTTCGTCGCGAACGTCGCTCCGTCTCGCGAACATCATTATTACAATTTCGGCGTTGTTCCCGCGTGATTGGACAACGCGTAAGCCGATGTCGTTGTCGCCTGCCGATTCGTCGTGCTAATCGCGCTATCTGAAGCTGTCGTTTTCGGGTAGCGCGATTCTCCCCTTAGATATAATTAAGCGCTCGTCGTGATAAGCCGTACTTCAAATTCGTCACGAAATAATAGAAGCTACCGGGTTCTCGGTTCGCGATCGAGTAAAAATCGCGAATCCAGTGTAAAGGATCTGCCAGGTTTCATCGATTTCGAATCGTTCGAGATCTCGTCGCCGAGTCCGTCGAAAGGAAAGCAGCGTTCTTTCCACGTGTTTGCTACCGCGACACGCCATTTTCGTACATCTTATCACGGCCGCCGTTGTGCATGAGCACCGCTACGTTAGCTACCGTTAATAGCGCATTTCTACATCAATCATTGTGCCACGTTATCGAAACGCAATTGAAAGGCGTTCAATAATAAAGTTTTATATATAACTATTAAATCTGTGAGTGTGCAGTGTCTTTGCCGTCCAGTCCACCTATCCATTTCGCTACGTGAGATCTCAGTCGAGATCGAAACAGCGATTCTCACAAATAAAGTTTGGTCCTTCGAGCCGGATTCGCGTGGCAGATAAACAATGAAGGACATTGCGACTTCGATCAAAGAGAGTGAGCATACTCGCGCTTCTCTGTTCATTATTCGTGTACTGTGTGTGAGTAACGTGGCCTACCTCAAGATTTCCGTCTCAGTAAATCGCGACAAGATAGTCCGTTACATATCAGGATAATAGTCAGTTATTCGCTGAAGAAGATCTCCGTCCATCAATCGCGGAGACACGTCAAGTTAGTGTGAAGGTTTCCATTTCGCTAATAATAAGTTACGGAAACAGTTCAACGATGGAGGATTTGCTATCGCAACAGTGATTGGCGATGCGCACTGTAAACCGAGTGTTGAAAAACTTTAAGAAAATTGGTCGTGCGAATCACATATACGGTATCGTTCGGAATCGTCTGCGGACTCTCAAGAAGAATTACGCTCATTGCGAGCTATTGCACGAGCAACTTCTCAAAGTCGCTACCAACGAGCAAAAGAAAGCCGAGAAATATTTCAAGGAGAACATTTTCGGCGAACTGGAGAAAGTCTACATCTTAGCTTCGGACTACATCGCAGACGCCTTTGCAGTTCTTAAACCGAGACCACGCAGAGCAATGCCCTGATGGAATGAGGAGCTGGCACAATTACGCTCAGAACTCACCAACGCAAGAAGAATGCTCAGAAGAGCGAGGAGAAAAACGGGACACTCAGAGGAGACTGAGACTCAAGTAAAATTAGAGCCTTTCAGACAGGCTAGGGACGAGTTTGGAAAAGCTATTAGGAAAGCTAAAGCCAAAGCATGGGAGGAGTTTGTTCTGTCATTAGACGAGGATCCGTGGGGACGTCCATACAAGACGGTACTTGGGAAACTGAGAAGATGGTCACCCCCATACACAGAATCCTTAAAAGGAAACACATTGGAACGAGTGCTCACAGGTCTATTCCCCCCATCACCAGGGATGGGGACTGAGTGGAGCGAGCCAGAGCTACCATTAGAGGGTATCTCAGCATGGAATGCCGAATTAGAGGTTACACACGAGGAGTTACTACATGCAGTTAATAGAATGAGAAGGAAAAACGCGGCACCGGGTCCTAGCAGTATACCATCTAAGGCATGGGCCCTCGCCGTAATGCCAAGGCTGGTGATATGATCAAACTATTCACAGAGTGCCTTAAAAGAGAACAATTCCCCAACGTGTGGAAAAATGCAAAACTAGTTCTCCTAAGAAAGGCGGAGAAGCCTGATGATCAAGCATCAGGGTATCGCCCGATCTGCCATTTGGACGATGAGGCGAAATTGCTTGAAAGAATCATCGCGGATAGAATAGTAAAACACTTAGATGAAAGGGGACCGAACCTGAACCCCCTGCAATTTGGCTTCAGGAAAAGAAGGTCAACAATGGACGCAATTAACGCGGCCAGGACATTCATGGAGGAAGCGTTCTCTAATGGAAACAGGGTAGTTGGAGTGTCACTAGACATTAAAAATGCTTTCAACACGTTACCCTGGAATAGCATCGGTAAGGTACTAAGGAAACATAAAGTTCCTATGTATCTAAGAAAAATCACGAGAAGCTATCTAGAGGATAGAAAGCTCTCCTTCTGCAAAAACGACGGCACGGAAGGTAAAAAATCCGTGGAAAGAGGAGTATCGCAAGGCTCCATACTTGGACCGCTTCTGTGGAATCTGGGTTTCGACGGAATTATGGACAAAAGGGAGTTACCAACTGAGAGCATAGTCATTTGCTATGCAGATGATACTATGATTCTAACAGCGGGAGAAGATTGGGAAGAGGCCACAACCCTCGCGAACATTGCCACGGACATAGTAGTTCAGAGGATCTCTGACTTAGGGCTGGAGGTTGCCCCGGCTAAGACAGAGGCAGTTGGCTTTTTCAATAAAGGAAGACCAGCTAATACAGAATTAAGAGTCGCTGGTACAACAATACAGGTGGGCATGAAATATCTAGGACTCATGCTTGATAGCAGATGGACGTTAGAAGCTCACTTCTCTAACATGGCACCAAGGCTGGAGAAGGCAGCCTTAAATCTAAGTAGACTCCTTCCAAATCTGGGAGGACCTAATAACAAAGTTAGGAGATTATATGCACAAGTAGTGGCATCAATTGCTTTATACGGGGCTCCAGTCTGGGCATACGAAATTAGCAAGAGTAGAAAAACCCTGCAGACTTTAAGGCAGACACAGAGGAGAATGACGGGGAGGCTTATTAGAGCTTACAAGACTACCTCGTGGACGGTAAACACGACGTTGGCAGGGATGCCACTCTTCGAGCTCGAAGCAAAACGACAAGAAGAAGTGTACGAAAGGATAACGGAGATAAGGAGAACCACTCCTATAAATACCCCGAGCCTAAAAGCGACCATAGACGGAATTAAAGACGATACCAAAAGGAAATTAGTAAGGAATTGGAAGCAGTGGTTATACGATCTCGAGCAAGGAGAAGATGTAGTCATCGGAGCTATTCGAGAACAGCTGAATGGCTGGTTGGAGGCGAGGGTGGGGCTCTCCTTCCGGGCGACGCAGGTTCTGACGGGACACGGATGTTTCGGAAGATACCTGTGTCGCATCGGGAGGGAGCCCACATCGAGAAATGCTGGTATTGCGAGGCGGAAAACGACTCTTCCAAACACACCCTAAGATATTGTCTGGCAGCTTCATTTTAACTTCATTTAAGTTCTAAGGAAGTTTCATTTAAGTTCTCAGGAAGCTTCCTTTAAGTTCGCAGGAAGCTCATAAAATTTTTTGCAAGCTTCATTTTAACTTTAAAAGAACTTGCTTGGAGTTCCCCGGGAGCTGCTCGGTTACATATTTTTCATTATTCTTTCGAACAATTATATTCGTTACAGCCTAGTGAACATAGTTTTATGTAAATGTTAAACTTGAATAAGCAAAGGGTAAGTGTATCTTTCTGGTGAAAGTTCTTCTGACACAAATCCCTTATTCAATTCCCATTAGTGTAATAAATACAAGGATAATTAAACAAAGTTTGATGCTAAGTGATTAAATTCATTAAATAAAATCCAACGAAGTGTCTGTGTCCACACCAAAGTGTGTCGTCTGGTCAAGGATTCGCCTGGAGAGAGCAGCACCAGGGACGTTCCAGAGCAGGAGGAAATCTTTATCAAACGATTTCCAGGGCACACAGCTTACCTATCTTTCTCGTAGTAAAGCCCATGACACATACAAGAACGTAAGACCGTAACACACAAGCAGTAAGTGAATTGACCAATCACAATAGAGACCGTAAGGCCAGTAACGAATCCAATGTTACGATTTCCTTACTGATTACGTCTTATGGACTTACGTTTTTCTATGTGCTCCCGGCTTAACGGACAAACGAGATGGCGACCATTTACGTCAAGTTGGACCATTATGGTAAAATTTTAATCAAAAGTCCGGCTACAATCCAACCCATCTTTTAATATTGGGTGGTCCTCGCTTTGCGTGTAAAGTGTACACATGGGGAGGGGGAGGGAAAAATTATATATCTTTCGGCCTCCTCTGGTTTATTATTACTCCAAGTCGTAACAAACATTATCAATATTGCAGCTGAAAAATGTCGGAATTCGGAAAAGTCCCCATTTTATTTCCATAATTTTCAAGAATACTATTTACATAATATGTATAATGTATATTAGAATTATATATGTATATTAGAATTTAAGGAACACTATTTTTGTTTTTTTCATATACTTATGTTCTTACTTGATTTGTGACAGTTTCACCTTCTCTTCCGATTGTCGCTACTTGAGCGTCCTTACTATGTGGTCTTAAATATCCCATATAAGCGATTCGTATATATAACCAGGTGAGGAAGGAATTTACAACCATCTGAGGAAAAGACGCTATCATCCAATCTGTAAAACTAATTCCTTCAGCTTCTGGAAACGTACTTTCATAGATTCCTTTGAAAGTAAGATTTGTGCCAGTTCCCACTAATGTTCCTGTACCGCCAAACGTCGAACAGTAAGCCGCCGCCAATAAATACGCTTTTGTTATTTTCGTTGGTTTTATTTCACTAAAAAAAGACAGCTATATATTATAAAATATCTCCTTTTAGAAATGTCTTCTTTTAGAAGAATATTATTTTTAAAAACTTACTATTTTTTTATATTGCAAAAAATTATATTTCTTATAAAATAAATCTTTACATTTCTAATATGGATAACACAGACCCACAAAAAAATTTCTTTTTTTGACCCAGAAACGACAGCATGTAATCCAATATGTAATGAAGGTTTTTAGCATGCTAAAACCAAATCCGTAATCCAAATTGCTCCATCATGTCAGAATTCCGAGATATTCTAACCTAAATATACCAAAAAGACCAATTTCGGGCATTTTTAGATTAAAGTTTGTTGTAAATGTGATATAATAGAAAAATATGGGCTGGGGATTTGAATTCTACATGAAAAAATCTGCGAAAATTACCTATGATTATAAATGGGTCAATACGGTAGAATAAAAAAAAAGAAAGATATATTGCAAGTATGTTCACCGGCCCTAGGGGAGTATCAGACTACGCGTTGACGATTACGATTGACAGTTGCTCGGTTCTATTTGAACCAATTATGATGGATTCGCTACATCGTGATTTGTTGTAGTTTAACTGGGCAAACGTTAATCGTAATCGTCAATCCGTAGTTTGATACAGGCGCATTAAAGCGCTTATAAACGATATGACCTATGTATATGCCAACTTGGTACGCATTCACTAAATACTGACTACATTCATTATAAATTTATATATGTCATGTATGTATATATCTGCTAATAGTTCGGGAGATGATGACACTAAAATGATCATGATTTGTTACCGCTTGAAATCGTTATAATTCGTCATTTATTAGGTAAACACGATTTGCTGTTTCGGGTTTTAACGTAATCCTCTTAAATGCTTTTATCAATTCCGGGACAGACGAAAAAGACTGCATCCGAGCTTGGTTCTGTAATGGCTCAGAAGGTATTCCGTCAATCACATATTCCATCAACTCTTCTTGGATAATGGGAACTTTATTTCCTAAAATAAGTTTTTCGTAACAATAGTCGCTGAAAGCTTCGTTTGTTTTCCAAGTCCTTGCTTCAAATTTACGCCGTGAATCGTCTTCCCAACGGTTGATCGAACATTGTCTCTCTCAACAGTTAATTTGTACTCATGAACAAGTATTCAGCTCTCGAATGATATCATTTTTGTGCCTTTCCCCATAGCTTTGATCCAATCAATATTTTGAATGCATTTTCATTTAATTCGTAAGTATCGCATAATAGGTTGACTTGAGCCTTCCATCTCTGAAAATCTTCACCTGAACCGTTGTATTCGCTTAACATTTCTTCTATGTTTTTAAGGAACGGTCAGAGCGAACTGGAAATTTGGGTTAGGTTTAGAGGAGAAAGAATCGATGAATTGTTGGAGAGGATGAGCGCTCAATATTCGTGACTGAAAGGAAAGAATCGACAAATTCTTAGAGTGGATAAGCGCTCAAGATTCATGATTGAAAGGAAAGAATCGACGAATTCTTGAAGCAGATAAGCGCTCAAGAGCCGCGATTGAAAAGAAAAGAACCGACAAATCCATAGAGCGGATTAGCGGTCAAGATTCGCGATTGAAAAGAAAAGAATCAACGAATTTTTGGAGCGGATGAGCGGTCGAAGTTCGCGATTGAAAAAAAAGAGATAGATGATTTGGGTAGATTATTGTAGTATATTTCAGGATTGGTCTTTTTCTATATAAAGTTGCTCCAAGACAGAGGGGATTTTTAAAAGTTTATGATATTAGTAATGGTTGACTTACATTGAAGTTTGAGGTATTAAACCTGGCAGCAACTGGAGGGGTGGCGGTTCTCCGCGGATTGAAGCTCCAACATTGACGAGGTGCACCAGATTTTTAAATCACTAACGCGTTGTTTAAGACCGGGTTGCCAATGACTTTGACTTTAATTGTAAGTGAATAAAATTTCGGACGAAACGACCGACTATATGATTTCAAAATAAATGACCGCTAGAGCGATTTCGAAGGGCCATACATACATATACCGGGACTAGACGTGATTCGGTACTTTGGATAGATGATTCATCTCTTTAGGTTTCTAAAAGATAGGAGTAACTAATGGATTCCCAGATGGTTATCGAGGGTTTTCAAACAAATAGGTGTGATTAGAGTTGTTCGTTTTTGTGAATTGGAAAATGTGATTAGGCTTATCTATGAGTCATAGGGCCACTGGGCGTGCAGATGCTCTCGACCAAATATTGATAATTAATATTTTCTTTTAATTGGTGCTTAGTTATTTATATTAATTAATCAGTCCAAAAATCAATATTCGATCGGCCATGCTACTAACTCTATCCTGGAGATGATCTCAAATTATTCGCATTCGAAAAGAAAAGGTCTTCTCCACGAAAGAAAAAAATCATGGACGTAACAAAACGGTCCAGAAGCTTCTCCAAAATCATCTAACGGAATTCTGAACATAATTATTTTCATGACTGTCTGGTTCTCGCCATATTGTTAGTGTTAAAAAACAAGGAACTTCTTTATTACCTTTGTTTTGTAGCTTCAAACTGGTAACGTAATTTGTATTAGGAGATTGCATTGAAAGTCACTGTTCACGACTCTAGATGGCTTTAGCTGCGTATGCTGTGGTCAGACACCTGTTACTTATGCCATTTTGAAAAATGTGAACATTTCCCACTAAAATACAATTAACAAACGCTATTCTTTGTTTACACATGTGCTTTTCTGTAACCGAATTAAAATGGAACTCGATAAGTTGTTTTTCCGATGTATATACTTTGTGACGTTTTCCGCCAGTCACAAGAGTCGTATGACCCAATTGAGAAAGCGCAACTTTAGCGTTCTGCGTCCTTCCGTTTTTAGGAGGCGGGCGTATTTAGGCACTCTTTTTAAACATTGTTCCGTCTATTTCGCGTCTATTTCGTGTGTTTGTGCGTCTCGCAGATTTTCTGTATCTGTTTTTGTTTTTTTTTCGTACGCTGTCGTACTGTGAGTTTTTACAGCATAATTGGCGACCCATTGTGATCTTGTAATTTTGCACCGTCTCATCGGCCCACGAATGAAGAACGAAGACCACCAGGATCAGAAGGGAGAAGGAGATCGAGGATGAATTATCGGAGGCAACACATCGGCACGCGGCACGCGCCTCACAGGTGCTCTGATTAGCTCGCGCGGTATATGTGTCACGTGGTGTCGGCACGATAGAATCATACAACGCGCGCCGAATAAGTTTCTCGCTAGGAATATCCGCAATTAATCAATGAAAATACTTTAGATAGACGATGCGAAATTAAATAATGAATATAATTTTCAGCGCGAAACAAAAAAACAAAACAAAAAAAAAACAAAATTATATTTCTACGGAGGCCAGGACGTAACAATTATTTAAAAAATTCTATCACGGAAAGTATTGATCATACGATCTTAAAAAAAAACGAAAATATTTCTAATTTTATCGCCTTCTTTTTTATAATGACCTTCATTTCGATGAAATAAATACTTTCTGAGATATTTTTGAAAAACCGCATTTTTTATCAGTTTTTTTGAAGCTGGAAAGTCTTTCAAGTTTGCTGGCTGTCAGGACTTTTAATATGCTGTATAATACGTCATTTCAAACAACTTCCCGCAAATAAATCTTTTATGGCAATTTTGCCTCCAAAAAGCAAAAAAAGTTTAATTTTTCTCGGCTACGCTTGGAAAATCATAAACAACTAATGTCATTAACTATCGTGTTTTGACATAATTTATAATATTCTGGATTAATGGGAAGGGTATATAAATATTACAATTTATTAAAAGTTATATGTTCTCTAGAATGTCCCCATACCTCTTGATACATGTCGAACAGCCAAAAAACATTTTTCGGTCTCTTGACGCTTGCTTCAGTGAAGCTACGAGAGTGAAGACAAACTCTCTTTCGCTCTCAGCGCGCCGACAAGGCAAGGAATGAAAACGTAGTGCGAAAAGGTCAGATCGATATAATCGACATGCTTCTAACTACCAAGTTACACGACTCGTGCTTGTTTTGCTACCGGTTGCGCCAACCGGTACTGATCGCGTGCTGCAAGCGGGCCGGAATTCGCATCGCTGCAGCGCCGAGAATACTTGATAGAAAAATCTCTACCCCGAACTTTTAGTCAAGACTGGTGCGATTGCAGTAGTAGCTGCAACCGATTTTCGAGAAAATTCGACCATGATAGAGCACTCTCTATCCGCTGGCTCTTGTCGGTGCAACTGGCGCAGGGTGTAGCAACCGGCCGACGACCGAGAACGCTCGGCGGGTCAGAGTACGCTCTACCTCAGAAATTCCTGTCGACACAGCGGAACATAGGAAAGCCGGTCAATCGCTGTCGAGAACGCTCGACAGTCATATGCCAAAGTCCCCATGTATGAAATAATATCTTCAATCCTTTATAACATGGCTAAAATAAGCTATTGAAGTAAAAAAAATTTAATTTGTAAGAAATGAACAGTACATTCATGATTTTTAATTAAAATTTCAAGGTTACGTTAACCTTCTTTATAAAAAAATTTTCAAATATCGCCAAAAAAGTTTTTAAATCTCAATTATCTTAGAAATCTGACATGTTAGAATTTTTGCTTTCAACATCGTTTTCAGCATTCAAAAATCTATAAGAGACACGTAGTCTGGTCTAAAGTAATTGAAAAAACAATTTTTGTGAATTAGTATTATCTAACAGCTGACAGTTATTTGACCATGTTGCGATTGATCACAAGTCACTCATAACGCTCATCCATTGGAAAAACTCAAGGTATCAATCGCTATAAGTGGCTGTGATTAATCGCCATTGTGATTAAGTGTGACGCTTCCTGATAATCATGCAGTACAATAAAAACAGCCCCGATGACATATGCCGTTAAAGTCATGATCCTAAACAATAGTTAAAAGGTTTTAGTCATTGTTTAAAGAATAACATCTCATTTTTTATATGTATAATATTAAGACCTACACCACACCCTCTCCTACTTCTGTGAAAACATTCCACGCGAAGCGAGACCCGCACCACTCCGACTTTCTCCAATCCGACTTTGCACGCAAAGCGAGGTCCATCCTACCTTCTTCCTTGTTAGAAAGCGTTCAACTTTCCATACAAAACAAACCTCCCCCCTCCCCCCCTCTGTCTAAGTGCATCTGACTTTCTAGGTGGAGGCTGTAAGGGGTGATGTAAAGTCGAACGCCTCTAGGCAGAGGGAAATGTGGGATAAACCTCGCTTCGCATGGAAAATCGGGCGCTCCGAAGTAAAGATGGATCTCACTTCGCATGAAATACTTGCCTTATCCCATTTTTCCATACATAAATGATGTTATATAAATGATATAACAGAGCATATGTAAAATTTATACCTTATATATAGTAAAATATATACCTTATGTTCAAAAATTATATTCTATTTATAAAAATCGTTTTGTTTTAATAACATTTTAATGAACAACGAACGACGGCTAAACCCGTCGGAGATCACTCAGGAATACCTTGACAACATAGTCAAGGTCAAGGTCATCGAGACTGATTTCTCTGTACTGCATAATTATACACTTCCTCTATATTATTTTCAAATATTTTTGAAAAAAAATGGTTTTACTTACGGCGGTACGTCTGGTCTTTCTAAATCAACTTCTGTTTTGAACAATGCACCCAATATTACTTATTATATACTGTCATACACAGGGTGTTTGGCGACTACCGCATTTTTTGTCATACGTGGGTAGAACAGCTTATACTGAATCAAAAAGTCCTGTACCATTTTGAGGTGTCAGCAATAGTTAACGAGATATTAACGTTTAAAAGATAGCTAAATACGCGCGCCCGCCCGACCTACTATTGCCGAAGGCACAGCCCACCGAGCGCACGGCGCGCGGGCTGCGAGGAGCGGGGATGGCCTAGTAGGCGCGCCGCGCCGTTCGA